CCATATATGGAGAATATGGTGGGTGGAAGTAGAACTTTTTAATCCAACTCCATAATCTTTTGTTGCGTCAAATGTGCTACATGTGGACGTACATCGTCGTGGAGAAGAACACCTTTCCGACTGACGAGTGAAGGGCGTTTCTGATGAAGGGCTTGATTTAAATGTTCTAGTTGCTGACTATAGATCTCTGCATTGACAGTTCACTGTGGATCATAGAGGTCGAAATGAATTACTCCTTTGTTTTCCCACCAAATGCAAAGCAACACTTTCTGCAGATGGAGTCCAAGTTTTGGGGTTGAAAGTGGTTTTTGTCTAGGACTGAGCCATTGTTTTTGGCATTTAATATTTGCATATGAAATCCATTTTTCAATACTGGGGACAATTCTTTCCAATTACGTGCCAGAAGAGAGAAAGTAACGTGCACACGTTGGGAATGATGATCATCAGAGAGTTCGTGAGGCACTCAAACACCTTCTTTATGGAGTTTTCCCATATTCCTTAGATATTTATCTATTGTTTCATGAGAGACAATCAATTTCAGGGCCATTTCACTTGTGTGTTGCCTTGGATTAGACTCAACAAGCATCTTTAGAGCATCAATATCAATTCTAACATGTTGGTCCCTGCCATCACAGTTTTTATGGCTAAAGTCACCTGAACGAAGTTTGCTGAACCATCACTGACACTTACAAACATTCAAAACATTTCCATAAACTTCTTTGATATTCTTTGTGGCTAAAGAGGTGTTCTATCCCTTTTTGTATTCAAACAGCATTGCATGCCCAATATGTGTCTCATTGTATGCCATCACTATAAGGAATTAGAGTATACTAAACTTTACACATGAAATAGGCTATACTAATGTGACGTTTAGGTGGCTCGTTTAACTACTATACGTGATGTACATTTTTTTTTGGGGGGGGGGGGTAATGAAAATGTTTCAAGACGCAACATTAATTTCTTGCTATTCTAATATATTCAGTTTGTGGAGTAAAGACTTTTTACTGCTACTCTTCCTCAAAGGCCATATTTCTTCAGCATTCTTGAGACTGTACTTCATGAACATATATTTTTGTGAGACTTGTTAATCCTATCAGTAAGGTTTTTTTTGCAGTTTTTAGGAATTGATTTCTGGATATCTAACATCTCTTTCACTAAGTTTTTTTTCTGTCCTCTGCCTTGTCTGGTGTTATAAGACTGGGTTTCCTTGTATCTGTTCAATGCGTACTTCACAGTACTTAGTGAAAACCTAAAGTTTGTCACAATTTTTCTTAAACTACAACTAACATCATGTTAAGATTTGACTCTAACTCTGTTAAAATGTGTTAATTCTCTGCTCTGACATTTTAATGGCAACATTATATTAGCTATACTGGATGATGATTGATAAAGTTTTTTTATGTGTGTGTGAGAAATTTTGTGTTTTTTTCCAGTGATGACTGGTACAGAAACTAAAGTCAATCATTAGTGACAATGTTGCACAACTTTTTATTCAGGTTAGATACTTTGAACAACTTTTAAAACATCTACTGCAGTTAATCATTTCCAGCTATGTGTTGCTTTTCCTTTAAAATTTTAAATTAATTAAATGTGTAGCATATTAAAGTTATGGAAAAAGAGAAAAAAATCAATAATTTGCCTATTTTGATGCTTTTTCTAACATTTTAGACAACAATGGTTTTATTTCACATGTAATAACAAATCAAAACTACAGGAGCATTGGGGTATTTTAATAAATTTGCACACTACTATGTTTGTTTGTAACATATATCCTCACTACACTAAAGTTAGTTTAATAAAAAATAACTAAATATATTTAAAGTTTCCTTTAAATCTTATTCATTTATGCTTTTGACATGTAAACTATTATGTTCACGTAATGAATAATCTTTTGTTAAGAAGGGAGTTTTATTGATGACAGAATATCAGTACATTTTCTTCAAATATTTATATCACCCTTTGTAATGTAAAATTGTTTTTTTTTACTTATATTAATTAATGAAAACATGAGTCAGCATTGTAAACCATATTGTTTATTGTATTGTATATTCAAAACCAATTTTGGATTTGTATAAATAGATATAGAGTATGTATGTATATATGGATATTCAAACATTTGATGACAAAATTTATTTAAGGGAAGTTTTAAGAATATCAGAGGCCCATATAAAAACTTGTAATTGTTTAATAAAGGGTATAACATAGTAATTGGTTCAGTTGTAGCATTATTCAGTGATAGTGTCACACTGATGAATAATATACAGGAATTTGATCAAACCATGAGGTAGGAGTTCCTCCTGTTTTCTTAGAAGGAAGTATAAAATTATAATCAATTACACTTGTGAAAATTTTTTACAGCTTTTTTTTTTTATCACATAATTGTCCTGGTAACAGTGGAAGAGACTGTTCAGACTTGTGTGGTAATTATTATTATATTTGTTCTCAGTGTATTGTTTAAGAATTACTTAACTATAATGAAATTAAAAATCCAAAGATAAATATCTCGCTGGATTTCAAAGTGAATGTTTGTTATGATTTAAGAAATAGTATTTTGTGGTTGAGCCAGTGCTAAAAATTTGTGAAAACTGTTCAATCTTCAACAAATCTTCAAACAAGAAAGTGTTCTTGGAGTGGGTGAGTTATGTGCTGAAGAGAGTTTCAAATAAAACCATAACGAAGGTAAAAAGTGTAACAGTCATGCTCCTTAAAGGAAGAGATCGATGTTATTATTGTAAACATTAGGAATATTAAAACATAACCATTAAAATTTCAAAATATATAGATGAAATTAGAACTTAATACATTAAAAGGGAAGAAATATTTTTATTATATGTGGCTTTATTTTTGCGAAACGTGGGGAATTAAAAAAATTATATGAAAATGTGATAAAGATAATTTTTCAGATATGGCAATAAGTAGCAATTCATCAATATCAGCATATTTGATATGAATCATTCATTTGTTGTATAATCTACGATCAGATAGAAAATAAATAATTCCTATTTGATGGTTCCTCAACTTGTTTAAAATGTTTAGCACACAAACTGAAAGGAACTGTTAAAACATGAGTGGAAAGTAGAAAATTAAAGTCCTAACAGGTGTTAAAAAAGTAACAACATGAAGGGTGTCAATAAATTATGCTTTTCTTGGCTGATTCCACATTATAGATGTATTATCACAGCTTTCAATCTCAATCATGAGCTTTTCTTCAGATAAGAAACATTTTTCAAAATGTTATTCAGTTAGACATGGTAGAAACAGAATTTAGTTAAGAGTTAATACAATTATCAAAACTTAAACGAAATTGCATTATGTTATCCGAGGACTGCATTTTCATTTTATTGACTCATTCACACATTTAATAATGAAACAATGCTTACTCAGAAAAAGTGCTTTTTCCAATGAAGCATTTATATACCATTTTAGAAGTTGCTGAATATCCATTCCTTCAATTTTTTTTTTAAGATAACCACTCAGAAGAAAAGATAAGTAGAGATAAAACATCACACACCTGTCATACCTGAAGTTTAAGTTATTCACCAACTGTACCCCTGGTTGCTCAGCAATAAATCTGAAGGCTTATAATGCCAAAAATTTGGTTTTGATACCCATGGTGGGCAAAGCGCATACAGCTCATTGTTTAGCTTTGCGCTTAGCAACAAACAATTGCCAACTTATGTCCAGTTCTCAAAAGCACCAGAGTTTATTAATTATTTTTCTGAATGTAATTTACAATATTTATTATCTTAAATGTTTTGAAGTTTTATTTTATTATAAAAATTATCGGTATTATGTTATTTCTAATTTCCTCTAAAAAGTGGCACATATTATTACAAACGTTACATAAAGCAAAGTTATATGCCTTGTTAACTATGTGCGTTACTAGAATATTTTTATCAAAGCTAGACAGATCAAACTTAATATCAGACTATGGTATAAGTTCATATAATGAGACAAAATAAATTTATAAAGTAATGTTCTAGCCAGGCATACTATCAGAATTTAAAATAATATATATATATAACTTTCTTTTTTGCCAACTGTAAAATAGGAAGGTTTTTGTTATATTTCTTAATGATATAAATATATACTATTTTGTTGTTGGGCTTAGGATTCTTCTACAGTAGGTCTCTGTGACTTGTTAGCGATAAATTCAACGATGAATAAACAGCACACTCTTCACTTGTTCTCAAAATAATATATATATATATATTCGGAACAAGTTAATGTATGTACAATAAATTTTTTAACACTAGATATTATGGACATATCATAAATACTATATATGTAGTTCTCTCCTTATTGTTAAATATCCACTTAGGCCTATTCAGTTACTTTAGAATTTCAGTTGACAAGCCGAACTATCTTCTCTATTTCAATCGCACTGGTATTCTCTGTGATTCACTTACAATTGTAGCGCGAGTTACCGTAATCTTTGGTCTTCTTTCATTTGAAGATCCTCTGTTCCTTTTCTAAGAGTGCACTCAGGCTGATTCAATTACTTTAGAACCCCGCTTTGACGAAATAAAATTAGTTTTCTTATCTTCTTTTTCTGCTGTTAGTTTCACTCTAACATATTGTTACGTCTCCGTTTGTTAATCGATTTTCCGTAACTTCGTTCGACGAAATTTTAACGACACAAGTCTTTACTTAATAAAACTGGTTTATTCTTTCCGAATATAACATTACCGATACACTCAACTTCAACAATCGCGCTAAACAAACGCTATAACAACGAACGTCAATAATACTTCTGACTGCAGTTCAATTACTCACTATCTATACACACATTACCTTCTTCTCGCGTCACGTTGTCCCCTC